TCTCTCACTGTCTCTCTCTCTGTCAAATAAATAAATAAAAATCTTTAAAAAAAAAAAAAAGAAACTTCAATTTTGTGGGGCAGAAAGAGAAAAAATTAGTAATTTCACTATAGGCTGGTAAATGCAATGAAAGCTACGTGGAACACTAAGGCAAAACATAGGAGCAACACGAACCTACTTGATCAAAGGGGTCTGGAAGATGCATCTCAGATATATCAGTCAGGGTTCAAGTAGAGAGGCAGAATCAGGGATTTGACTGCAAGCAATTGCAGGTTAAGTAGTCTCTGCAAGGCTGTTGTCTTCACAGTGAACCTGGAGCTTGAAGTCTGCAGCGCATGCAGTTGGGAAGGGAAGGGGCGTGTAAAGTGGGAGTGGGAGACGACAGGGTAGGAACACACAATCTTGGGTATGGCCCCTACCATTGATGGTGTTGATGATGTGCATGTTTCACAGGAGAAGCTGGTGTCCTTTGTCAACAGAATTCAACCCACTGGCTCAGAAGTCAGAGAAGCTGAAGGAGGACTCAGGGCAGATGCAGTGGCTGCTTCCCCACACCAGAGAAATGAAAACATGCATGCACTGCAAGGGGACACATTACAAAGACACAACACCTAAGTAATCTGGGCTTTCAACTAACTACAAGTAGTTTCCTGTGACTGGAAGGGCTGATGTTAGGGTGATGTAGGACAGAGTGGGAGGAAGATACAGTGAGGGAAGTAAAAGATGAGCCCAAGCCACAGGTCAAGCAAGATCACTGAGGACTTTCTGAGGATAATGTTAGACTGGATACAGAGGGCAATGGGCCACCACTAACTATGATGGGTTATCCAATTTTCATTTCAAGAAGTTTAAAGTGACTAGAACAGCATCATCTTCCCCTCAGCCTCAGCTCTCCCCATTCTTTTCTTGCCCACCTGTGTCCATAACAAAGTCTCCAGGTTCCTCCCAGCACTCTTCTTGCCTCAGTGTCTCCACCTGGAATACATTTCCCTACTTCCCTTCCTCCTTCCATGCAAGTCCCGTTTCTTCCTTTGTTAGTACTGCTCTAGGCAGCATTTGTCCCAGCAGGATGGAAATAGTCACACTGTGTGTCACTAGACTGTGACCTTCCTAAGAACAGAAACCTTGTTTATATCATCCAAATGTTCCCACTGCTTAGCATAGTGCCTGGTACTTAGAAAGTGTTCAATAGACGCTTATTGATAAAATCAAAATCCAAGAGCTCTCATCAAACACTTTGCTTATATGATTTTTCAGTTTTATTAGTGGCCCTCTGATCACTGTCGAACATAGAAAGGCAATGGATTTCTATATTTGAATAGAGAATTAAATGACAGGAAAGGCTTCTAGCATCCTTCAGAAAAGCATGTATGTATAGGCTCAAGTTATCAAGAGGAAAAGGAAAATCATATCTCTTCTGAGATGTGCTCCGAGCCACAGACCAACATCTCATTCTTTACCGAATTGGATTCATAGTTCTCATCTGTATGGACTTCCTTGTCATTCTTGGTTTCCTTAATCCTCATAGGACTGCCTGCCAGGTTGTTGGGCCAGTTATAATTATAAAGAGGCTTCAATTTTTTTGTGAAGATAGAGTTAAATACTCTTCGGAAGATTTGTTTAAGATTTGAGGAGGTCAATCTATGGGCTATTTCCTTAAAAATTTTGTAGGTTATTTCTGCCAACTTCCTGATCACAGGGTCTTCATCCCGAAGCACTCGGTCAATAGCTGTAAGAGCAGAAGGGCCTTTTAGTTTAAGACATCTCTCTCATGGTTGAGAAGCTCTAACCCTGAACAGCACCACCACCTTTCACAGAGTCTCTCCTTTTCTTCTCCAACCTCCCAATTTTCATTATTTCGACTAGAAGCATCCAGGAAGTTTTATCTGCTTATCCCCACCAGACCTCAATAAATAAAAATAGGAATACTCACTAAATATTTATGGAGTGCCTATTATGTGCTGAGCATTCTGCTAAGTAGCATAAACATATATTCATGAAGAGGTTCAATAGTGCTCATAATAATGAAAAAAAGTTGGAATCAGTCTCAATGTTCATCAACAAGAACCGTGTAAAAATTAGGCATATCATAAAATGAAATAGCACACACATAATAACATGATGATGTAAACCCATGTTTCTTGGCATGAATATATGAAGAAGTGAAAGAGTTATACAACAGTTATGATAGTTTAAAAAATAAACATGTAATAGCTTATACTCTTTAAAAACATCTGAGATAATATATATACCAAAATGCTAATATCATTCTATCCAGATACCAGGCTTGTAGGATTTATTTTCTTCTTAACAAAAAGAAATCAAGAGGGGAAAATAAGGACAGATGTGGAAAAGAGAGAGGAGAAGGAGCAGGAAGTGAACGAGGAGAGAAAGAAGAAGAAGATTCTGCGGGACATGGAGGCAGAATGATCATGCTTAACGTTTGCAGGTTGTCAATAAATATGTATTGAGTACATGAGTGAATGGGTCAATGATTGAGTGGAAAAGGAAGGAAGATAATGATGCGTCAGTGCAGGTTCATCAGTTGTAAGAACATGCCACGGGGGGAGGGATGTCGATATGGGGGAGGTGTGTGGGTGGGGGCAGAAGGCATATGGGAAATCTCTGTACCTCCCTTTCCATTTTGCTGTAAATCTAAAACTGCTCTGAAAAATAAAGTCCGTGACACACACAAAAAAAGGAAGGAAGGAAGGCTGCCACCCTATTTTCTACCTCACCTGTTTGTAATTCTCATCCTGGGGAGGAAATAGAGGCTAAGAGAGAGATGCCAAAGATTCAGACATTTTGAGAGCAAACATTCTCCTTCTTTAATTCCCTCTGGTCCAAGTGTGCATTGCTATCCTCTAAAATGTAAAATCTCTGAGGGAAGGGACTTTGCTTTGTTTGCTGCTATATGCTCCACAGTTGGACTAGTGCTATCACATGGTAGATGCTGGAAGAATATTTGTTGGATAGATGAATGAGTGAATAAATCTCAACTCTGTAGTTCCTAAGGGCTCTAGGATGATAGGTCTCAAATAATGAGAAGGATAGATAGGTTTAAGCACACACACACACACACACACACACACACTCAGAAGGGAAGGGAAGCAGGGAAGGGAAAGGAAGAAAAGATGTGCTGTAACCTAGTCCTTCCACTGATTCCCCCATACCACTCTCCTCCCATCCCTGGCACCATTATAGAACACATATGTGAACTGAATCACAAATAGTGAATTCACTTAGACATATACATACAGATTTCATTATAACTTCAACACTTACCCTCAAGCATGACTTCAATTTCATCTCTGAGCAGTAAATGGCCACCTAATTTTGCCAAGTATCCTGTGAACGAAGTAAAATTAAAGTTACCCCAAAATACATTATGCAAATGCATCCTCTGATCTGGCTGCCTTCATAGCTTTCTTCAAAGAAAAGGATCTTTAGATTATCTTTGAAACATCCTTTAGTGCTTTCAAATAATTATTTAATGAAACTCTTTATTGAGATATATTTATGTCTATAAATGTGCACAAATCATAATTGCACAGCTTGGTGAATGAATACAAATTGAACACTTCTAGCTACCACTTAGACCATTAAATAGAACAATTACTAGCATTCCGGAAGCCTCCCTCATGCCCTTTCCAATCTCCTCCTCCACCCGTTAAAATATTCTTTTGCTCAACTTGTTGTTGAGCATTATTGTAAGATTCATCCAGGTTCCTTATTGCAGCAATAGTTCATTCATTTCTCATTTATTTATGTAATATCTATCCTGGTTGCTTTTACCGTACAACAGCAGAGCTGAGTAGTTTTGACAGAGACCAGACAGTATTCATAGCTTTAAATATTTACTATTCGGTCTTTTACAGGAAGAGTTTGCTGAACCCTGTTATAGGGTATTCCATCTTATGAATGCAGCATTTTTTTTTTTAAATCCATTCTGCTGATGATGGACAGTGTGTTGTTTTCAACTCATGGCTATTATGAATGATGATGTTATTGTGGACATTCTTATATGAATTTTGGTATGCATTTGTATGCACTAATGTTTGGTATGTAGCTAGCAGAGGACTTATTGGCTAATGGATATGCTTATCTTTACCCTTAATCATTACCGCCAAACAATTTCCAAAGTGTGGTTGTACCAGTTTTCACTCCCACCAGTAACTATGAACATTTCTATTGCTTTACATACTCTCTGCCACTTGACATTGTTAGTCTTTTTCCTTTCAGTTATTCTCATGGATTTGGTGGTAGTATCACACTGTGATTTTCTTTGCTTTTTTGGTGATGATTAATAAGAGTTTTATATAGTATTTATTGGCCACTTGGATATTTTTTTTTAAGATTTATTTATTTATTTATTTGACAGAGAGAGAGACACAGTGAGAGAGGGAACACAAGCAGGGGGAGTGGGAGAGGGAGAAGCAGGCTTCCTGCAGAGCAGGGAGCCCGATGCGGGGCTCG